GAGAAGAAGACTAAAGAGGGAGAGAAAAGAAGAGAGGCAAGAAGAAGGGAAAAAGGAGGAAGGAGAGGGAAGGGAGCAAAAGATATAACACACAATCAGCAAATTGGTCCTCAGCTCCAGGGCACTGATACATGGTAAAGGGCCCTGGTCCTGCCTGTTTAACATGGATGGCAAGTTCCTCAAATTCAATTACACAGCTCTGGCAACCAACTCTCCTGGAAAAACTACTTTTCTAGATCTGTATAAATCCCCAACTATGAAACATGAGCCTCAATAATCAAATAATCACTTCCAATCACTGTTGTTGGCCTAGGACACTTTAATAGGTAAACTCTTCACTTTGTTACATGCTTGCTCGCTCTCGCTCACTTGCTCTCTCTCTCTCTCAGACCACAGATAACAAAAAGAGTCAATTCAGGTTGCTATCTAGTGACAGTATTAATGACAGATGACAGCGAGAGAGACCACTTTGCACATGGGCAAACAAACAGACACTTTATAGGGGCCATAAGCATACTTGGTATCTTTGAAGGGCACCCAGAATACTGCCTATTTTAAATATCTACCTCTACCCCACTGGCTTACCAGAGTACTTGAAATGTTATTAGAAAAATCTAATCCTTAGGTTAGGCTTTTATATTTCTAGAATTCTCCTTATTAAAAGGCAAATAGTCATGAAAAAGTAATAGACTAGGTCTTTGACACATCAGATTGCTTGCCATCATAACATTAAACAGACAACAGAGCTGGCACCAACCGGATAGATAAGCATTAGTGAATAAGGGAGGAAGAAAAAGTATAATTTACAAAGTACTGTCTAGAGGGAACTTTTGAGTGAATTCCTTGAGAAAAACTGGCACACAGAGATGAGTAAGAAAGCCCTAGGTCCTGGGAGAAGTGGAAGAGGAAATAGAGTTTGAGAAAACTGAAAAAGGGAAGTTCAAATCCCAATTTGGTTTCAGGCTGGCTGGGAGGGTCAACTCCCAAAGGTTATAATCCCAGAGCAGCAGCAGAGCATGAAGCAATCCTGAATACCAGCTCTAATATCTGGTTACCAGAAAGTCTGGGAAAAGCAGGAAAACAAACTCTAAGGCCAGTGATTGCCAAAGACATATATCAAGTACAGTATAGCAGATTTCTAAACCTTTCTGTCACCCTACCCACATTCTTCACCCCAAATCAGATGAAAAACTAATAGGGGAGGGCAGGGGAGGCATGCAGAGAGAAATGTGGATTTGTGTAATTTGTACAAGTTCTCGAAATGATCCAGATGCTTGTGACATGTATGGTTCCTCTACAGTGACAAGCTCCTTCATCTACCTAAGTCTAATCAGACCCCCAGTCCACCAAAATGATAAGCAGGTCCAACATGCTTTCAGTCCCAAGCATTTCTTAAAATTTTTATATTTGAACTGGAACATGATTTTGATTGCCACCTAGTGGAAGAGACAGAGTCAACCACAAATTAAACTAAGAGTAAGCAATCTAAAAGTATCAAATGTTATTTTTTGTATTCTAACAGTTGAAGACAGTTTCCCAAAGTGTGGCTATATGAAAGATGATTTTAGGTAGCACAAGGATAAATGCTATTTTAACTCCTTTGTATTTACTGCAATGTATACTAGAAAAAAGTATAAACGATACTTCATCATTTCACAAATATGTGAAGATAAGGCTAAATTAACACTAATTTTTTCAAAGTTAATAAATTAAAAAATACAGTGTATCTGAGATTTATGTATATAAAATGAAATAACCCAAATTTTAGTGGAAATAACAATATTTTAAGATATTCCTGTTTTTTTCCCCTCATCAAATAAGTTCCTGAAATTATTTCACAAGAAAATTAGCATTCAATACTGTTAAACTCCTATAAAAATTTGCCTTTCTTAAGACATGCTTACCTAGACAGTTATCCTATGATTGAAAATAGTTGATTCCCTCTTATTTTGACAAATTTCATTATAGAAAATATACTTCCATTTAATCTAAATGGTTAAATACTCAGAGAACTGTTTGAACTCCTGCCAACCTATTGCAGTGGAATGCACTTTAATGACCTATGTTCTATTGTCACAGTGATCAATTATTTATCATAGAATTTAGAGGTTTCAAGAAAGTTCTGAGCATTTAATCAGCATTCATTAGTCCTTCTATTCACTGACTCTAAACATACAATTGAAAATTACAAGATTCATTTCATTATCTTCTCTGATGGCCACTTTAAATGACAATGATATATTTCTCATGTGATAAACTTCATACTGCTCAAGCTGCTTTAAAAAAGACTAAAAAAAAAGTATCTGGAAAATGGAAGCGGGATTATCAAGAATAGTTTAAATCAGTCCTCTTTCATCTCCTGGATTGGAAACTGCTTTAGAGCCTTAACAAAATCAGCATTTTTTTGCCATTGTAACATTAAACAGACAACAAGCTTGTGCACAAAGAGGATAGATAAGCAATAGTGAATAAGGGGAGGAAGAAAAAGTATAATTTACAAAGCATTGTCTAGAGGGAATTTTTGAGTGAATTCCCTGAGAAAAACTGGCACACAGAGATGAGTAAGAAAGCCCTAGGTCCTGGGAGAAATGGAAGAGGAAACAGAGAAAACTGAAAAACAGAAGTTCAAGGAATAGGTGGGCTTCTTGAATAGTTGGGTATTTACCTAACAGTAACTGCCACATGTCCCACCTCAAGCACTGTTTCTTTCTGAGGAGACAACACTCTGACAGTTTACTATTTACTCCCCTGGACTCATTTATATATATATTTGCATTATATATAACTTGTAAAGGTCTTTACCCAAACAGCAGTATGCTATATACACTGACTGCTCTGCACTTCACATTTTTTCATTTAAAAAAATAAGTTGAAGACTTGTTCCATTTTGATATGTAATAAAGTCACTTCTTTCTTTTTAATGTGTGAAAAATATTCCATTGTGTCAAGGTGCCATAATTTATCCAGTCCTATAAGAAGACATTTTTGTTGTTTTCAATCTTTTGCTATTATTAAAAAACAGTGCATCAAACAACTCTGTACATATACTACTTGACACTGCAAATTAATGTTTAGAAGTGAAACTGATGGGCCATGTAAACTTTGGCATTGGTTGATGGCATTTTTTTTGGTGAGGGGCAGATCACATTAATTTTGTGGGGTTAAAATTTAAAGAGCATGACACTGTATTTTAGATTCTTCCATACTGAGAACAGAATATCCCTTTTTGTTACATGTAATATCTTATTAACTCTAACATACACATTTAGTCCCTTCTAAAATATGGATGCATCTAATAATAATCCAGGACATCTTTTAATCACTGTCAGCCAGGTGGCAGTCATGAAGATAACTGCTCCTGGTGGCATGACAGGTCATCTGTGATCATTTCAATGATCAAACCATTTAGAGACCATTTAAGGAAGAAATCAGAGAAGGCAATGGCAACCCACTCCAGTACTCTCGCCTGGAAAATCCCATGGACAGAGGAGCCTGGTGGGCTGCAGTCCATGGGGTCACTGGGAGTCGGACACGACTGAGTGACTTCACTTTCACTTTCCTGCATTGGAGAAGGAAATGGCAACCGACTCCAGTGTTCTTGCCTGGAGAGTCACAGGGACGGTGGAGCCTGGTGGGCTGCCGTCTATGGGGTTGCACTAAGTCGGACACGACTGAAGCGACTTAGCAGCAGCAGCAGTAAGGAAGAAATATGAGCCATAGTGTTGTTAGAAAGCTTTTTGTGACACCTTCTGGTAAGATCAGGAAAGTACAAGCATCAAAACTAAAAAGTGCCAGTGATTTGGAAGAAAATTCTTTCAAGAAATACTATACTATCAATACTCTTAATGGTAATAAGGACAATTTTGTGTGAGCAGGAAAAAATAATGATTTTTGATGTGAATCAGAACAATCAGACTGTATGTGAAGAATCAGATTTGTAATATTTTAACCAATATATTTTGTTTATATTTTTAATTTTGTAATCGCACTAGAATTCTAGTAAGTACAAAAATAAAATTCTAAGTTCTAAGAAATCGTTGCATCAGAGGTATGGGCAGCAATTTATGTTAGTTTTATATTTAAAAAAAAAAAAGACAACCAAAACTAGTACAACTTTTAATCAGCACCTCAGGTTTGAATAAACACTGTGCTGTTATTTTAGTATTTTAGAGTTTCTCTCATTAGATTTTGCACATTCTTAAGGCTATTCCTATGTCTTATCTTTTCCTCCATTATATTTTCTTGTTAGAATGCTATTGATTTTTGCCTATTTTGTAAACAACCACCTTACTGAATTATTTTTTTTATAAATTGTTATTATAAATTACATTTATAATAATTTTTCAGTGGATTCTTTTGGATTTTCAAGGTAAGGAATGAAATAAATTTTAAACTCTAATTATCTTCAACTCCCTGCTGGAATTTAAACTCAGAGAAGGTAAGGATCATGAATTATTTTCACTGCTCTATTCCCAGCACTTCCCATACTTGTGCTCAGTTGCCCAGTTGTGTCCAACTCTTTGCGACCCCATGGACTGTAGCCGGTCAGAATCCTCTGTTCATGGGATTCTCCAGGCAAGAATACTTGAGTGGGTTGCCATTTCCTCCTCCAGGAGATCTTCCCGACCCAGGGATTGAACCTATATCTCCTACATTGGCAGGTGGATTCTTTAACACTGAGCCACCGGGGAAGCCTGACTTCATGTAATACGTTGCACAGATCAGAAAATCAATATTTATTTGTTAAATGAGTTACATGCATATTACTTCATAAAACTTACCTCAGCCATCCCTGACAGAGACAACGGAGTTTAGTCTAAAAAGTCAAATACAAGTGAGAAAATGTATTCATATATATTCCCTTTTATATACAAACATACAGATCCTATAAGAAATTAGATATTTTATAATAAAATCTCTATATATTTGGTTATAATGGGTTCTATTTTAATAACTAAAAGTCTTAATTTTGAAATAAATGTTTTATTTTGAACACTTACCTTTTAGATCTAATATCTGATGAATCAAACTGGATATTCATAGGTCCAGGATTTATTTCATGATCTCCCTCAGGGATGAGAAGATGACTAGAATCACTATCCATATTGGCCATTTTTCTCAGACTCTAGGCACTAAAGAAGTCAGTCCTATAATAAATCAGAAAAGAGAAATAATATAAAGTTTAATATAAGAATTATTTTACTACTGATAGGTAATACATTTGCATGTATAAGAAATAAAAAAACACAGGAATTTGCTGAAGATATCTTAATGAGATACATGCCTAAAATACTCATATTATCGGAAACTTGCTAGGTTGAAAAGGAGTTACTACTTATTTTTCAGCTTAATAAAAAAAGAAGCAAGGCAATCCATTTCCAGTAATAAAACAGATTAGACTATCTGGGCTCGTTTTCCAGCAGAAACAACTGAAAATACTGGGTAAAATATAAAAAAAATTTTTTTGAAAATAGTAAGGAAAAGCAGGCCATTTGTAGGTGAATTTAAGGAACCTAGAAAGAAAGTAGCTAGAACAAGTTGGTTCCGTTCTGAAGGTATTCACTGTGCCAGGAGAAACTGTGCTGGGGTTTTCAACATGTTGTGGAATAGCAGGGAAATAAAAGACAAACCCCAAAATTCATCCAAAGGAAGGAATGAGTGTAGTAAGAAATCACCCCCATCCCTACTTTCAATACACCTGTGACTACAGAGCGCTTCACCATCAGATTAGGAGTTAACAGGAAGTAATTTCAAAGAAAGGCAATGCCAAAGAATGCTCAAAGTACTGAACAATTGCACTCAACTCACACGCTAGCAAAGTAATGCTCAAAATTCTCCAAGCCAGGCTTCAACAATATGTGAACCGTAAACTTCCAGATATTCAAGCTGGTTTTAGAAAAGGCAGAGAGGAACCAGAGATCAAATTGCCAACATTCACTGGATCATCGAAAAAGCAAGAGAGTTCCAGAAAAACATCTATTTCTGCTTTATTGACTATGCCAAAGCCTTTGACTGTGTGGATCACAATAAACTGTGGAAAAGTCTTCAAGAGATGAGAATACCAGACCACCTGACCTGTCTCCTGAGAAATCTGTATGCAGGTCAGGAAGCAACAGTTAGAACTGGACATGGAACNGAAAAGACCCTGATGCTGGGAAAGATTGAAGGCAGGAGGAGAAGGGGACGACAGAGGATGAGATGGTTGGATGGCATCACTGACTCAATGGACATGGGTTTGGGTAAAGTCTGGGAGTTGGTGATGGACAGGGAGGCCTGGCGTGCTGCAGTCCATGGTGTTGCAAAGAGTCGGACACAACTGAGCGACTGAACTGAACTGAAAAGTGCCTCACTCCCTCACAAGAGAATTGCAAACAAGTTTTCTTGACACTGACCACAGCCTGTGTGTGTGTTTGTACGTTTCTGTGTGTGTGTCTGTGTAGAGGGAAATATTATACACTACAAACTGCACCTCATGGATTTGCAAGGTGATCAAAGAACACTTAAAGCTATGAACATAATTTCAGGTTACTTGCTTGGTAGAGCTTATAGGTAACTGGCTGAAGCAAATGTAAATCCTTTCTTTGAGGATCCAGAAAACACTGATCCGAGGCCTCAAAAAAGGCCTGCAAACAATTTTTCAAGAACAATGAACAGTACACTGTCAAAAATAAACCAACATATAAAGAAACAAAATGCTATTAGTGAGAACCAGAAGAAATAGCAGAAATAGCTTCACAAAGGCTTCAACCACATTCTTATTATCAGAATAAGATTATAAAACAATTATGCTTCCTACCTTTAAACAAATAAAGGAAAACGTCGATATTTTCAAAAAGTAAATGCATGTTTGTAAAGGACTAGAGTGAACACTTAGGCCCAGATAAATAACAACAAAGAAAAAATAATAATAAAATGAAACATAATAGCCAAAATTTAAAACTCAATGGATGTATTTAAAAGCTGGAGAGAGGATGCTGGCAACATGGTAGAATAAAAAGCTACCTTTATCTGTTCCTTTCAAAGTACAACCAGTAAAACATCTATAACAACAAAAGTGCCTCCACCCAATACACTAGGATGCTGGAGAATTCCACACATCCGTACATCTAAGAGTGAGCAGACTAGATAGAATATTTAGAAGGGGGGAAACTGAGGGAGGGAGAGACCAAGGGAAGAGTGATGGTGGTGCCTGTAATCCTAGCCCTCCAGCTTAGCAGCTGAGATTGCAGCCCCAAAAGCAGCAGGGTAGGTGGGCACACGACTCCTGCCTCAGCAGCCGCCATGAACACAGAGGCCAAGACAGAGAACCTTATAACACTTCACCCAGCATCGGTGCCTCTCTCTTCTCCCTCCCCCTGCAATGTCAGAGCCTGTAATTCAGGAGATCCTGGATATGAAGTAAGGGACCACCATCCTGGCTATAGCAGAAGGCAAGGCACCGGCAACCCTGGAGGCACAAGAAGCGGTAATGAGTGCCCAGGGTAACACTGCCAACAGAGGTGATTGAGGATGGAGAGTGAAGATTCAAATATAACTGCAGGTAGTTCAGGTAAGAGAAACCAAAAGATTGTGCACCACTTACTGGAAAACAGAAGAAAGGCCTCTAACTTCTAGTCTATTGAATCTGTTATAATCAAGCAAAAAGGTGTTTGCCACTTGAAATTTGTCTGTGGGGAAACAGCTCATTAGGCACCGTGAACCACAGTAACACTGCATTGCTGCTGCTGCTAAGTCGCTTCAGTCGTGTCTGACTCTGTGCGACCCCATAGACGGCAGTCCACCAGGCGCCGCTGTCCCTGGGATTTTCCAGGCAAGAGTACTGGAGTGGGTTGCCATTGCCTTCTCCGAACACTGCACTACAAAATGACAATTCTCCAAAAACTAAATGTAAAGTAATGAAATATTGTGACTTAATTGAAACAGATTCAAAATATTTGTCATGAAGAAACTCGACAAACTACAAGAAAACTCAGAAAGGCAGATTCAATGAGCTCAGGAATAAAATTAATAAACAGAAGTAATACTTTAACAAAGAGATTTAAACTCTAAAATAGAACTAACTGAAAATTCCAGAGCTGAAGAATTCAATAAATGAAATGAAGAATGAATTACAAAGCAATGGAAACAGAGTAGACTGGATAAAAGACAGAATTGGCAAGCTTGAAGATAGAAACCTAGAAATAATACCAGTAGGAGAGGAGTAGAAATAAGATATTTTTTTAAATCAGAAAAATCTACAAGTGCTGACTGACTCTTTTAGGAAGGACAACATTAGGACATTGGGTATCCCAGAAAAGAGAGAAGGGGACAGAGTTTATTTAAAGAAATAATAGCTGAGAATTTCCCAAGCCTGTGCTAAGAACTGGATATACAAGTCTATGAAGCTAGGAGAACACCTAATTACCTTAATGCAAAGAGATCTTCTTTAAGACACATCATATTAAAACTGTCAAAAGGGGTTTCCCTGGTGGCTCAGTGGTAAAGGATTCATCTGCCAATGCACAAGACATGGGTTCCATCCCTGATCCAGGAAGATCCTACATGCCAAAGAGCTACTAAGCCCATGCACCACAACTATTGAGACTGTGCTCTAAATCCTGGGAGCCACAACTACTGAAGCCCACATGCCCAGGCATGCATGCCACAGTGATGAGAAGCCCTTGTACCACAACTAGAGAGCAGTTCATGCTCGTCGCAGCTAGAGAAAGCGCATACAGCAATGAAAACCCAATAAAGCCATAAAAAATAACAACAAAAAACTGTCAGAAGTGAATCACAAAGAAAAAATTTTAAAGGTAGCTAAGGGAAAAAGGATAATAACCTATAATGGAACCTCCATTATACACAGAAAATCCTACACTGCCACCAGATGTCATTGATGAATTCAGTAAAGTTGCAGTATACAAAATTAATATACAGAAATCTGTTGTTAATTCTACACACTAATAGTGAATTACTCAAAAGAGAAATTAAGAAAATAAGTCCATGTACCACTGCATCAAAAAAGAATAAAAAACCTAGAAATGAACTTATCTAAGGAGGCAAAAGACCTGTACTTGGAAAACTACAAGACACTGATGAAAGGAATGAAAATGACACAAATGGATGAAAAGATATACCATGTTCATGGGTTAGAATTAAAACTGCTAAAATGACCATACTACCCAAGGCAATCTACAGATTCAGTGCAACCACTACTAAAATACCAAGAGCCTTTCTCACAGAACTATAGAAAAATAATTTTAAAATTTGTATGGAAATACAAAAGACCCTGAATAGCTAAAATAATCTTGAGAAAGAGAACAAAGTTAAAAGAATAATATTCTTTGACTTCAGACTATACTACAAAGCTACAAAAACAAATAATAATAAAAATCAAAACTATGACATAGGCACAAAAACAGACAAACAGGTCAATTAAACAGGACAGAAACCACAGAAATAAACCTATGCACTAATAGTCAATTAATCTATGACAAAGGAGGCAGGAATATACAATGGAGAAAATAATTTTTTTCAAAAAGTGGTGCTCAGAAAACTGGACAACTACATGTAAAAGAATGAAATTACAACATTTTCTCAACACCAAATATAAAAATAAACTCAACATGGATTAAAAACCTAATATAAGACTGGAAATCATAAAACTCTTAGAGGAAAACATAAGCAGAACATGCTAACATAAATCACAGCAGTATTTTTTTTTATCTGTATGCTAAAGCAAGGAGAAGGGGATGACAGAGGACAAGACAGCTGGATGGCTTCACTGAATCAATGGACATGAGTTTGAGTAAACTCCGGGAGATGGTGAAGGACAGGGAAGCCTGGCGTGCTGCAGTCCATGGGGTCACAAAGAGTTGGATGTGGCTGAGCAACTGAACAACAAATGTTAAAGCAAAGGAAATAAAAGCAAAAATAAATATGACCTATTCAGACTTAAAAGCTTTTGCAGAACACGAAGGAAACCAGTGACAAAACAGACAGCATACTAAATGGGAGAAAATATTTGCTAATGGTATGACTGATAAGGGGTCAAAATTCAAAATATATAAACAGCTCATACAACTCAACAAAAAACCAAACAACCCAATTTAAAAATGGGTGGAAGATCTGAATAGACATTTTATAAAGAAGACATACAGATGGCCAACAAGCACAGGAAAAGATGCTCAATATCATTAATCATCAGGGAAATTCAAAATCACAATTAGATATT